TAATTTTATTTAAATTAATACACACTAAGGCATTCAAGCTTTCTTTCCTAAAAAATTTCTAAGCATAAAGAGCATACAATTGTGTAACCATTAAAAGCACAAACAACCAAGTCCTAGAGCAAATCCTATCGAACTCTAAATTCATGTACATTCAGTTTTAGCCATAAAGAATTATCATCATTGGGCATCCTTAACTTATTTCAACATACTATCCTAACTCTTACTAATGCCATGGCATAATGATTCTGTTAACCTTATAATTCAAATGTCTGTTAACCTTATAATTCAAATGTCCTACTAAGAATACCACCTCCCCCAAACTTAAGGGAAGAATTGTCCTCAATAATTTAATAAAAAAAATTAAAGTTAAACTACATGCTATCTAATGTAATACAAAGTAAGGTACCTCAACTTCCTATGGTGGTGGTGGTGACGAGCTGGCAGTGTTGCGCCTGGTGCGCTTCCTTAGTGGGGTAGGGCTTGACTTAGGGTATGATTCAGGTTCAATATTTGGGGTGATCGGTCCCTTATTAGCCTTGGCAATCGGTGTCTTCACACGCCCAACAGACTTTTTTAAGTGTCGTTTACTCTTGTGCGGCGAAGGTTGCCACGATATTTCTATTTGGTTGGGTATCTCACTTTAGGGTTCATCAACATTGTGGGTATCTTTAGATAGTTTGGGCTCGGTCTGGGATTGGGGCTCAAACTCAGGTACTTGCTCAGGCACTGTGTTGAGTAGGACAGTGTCATGTGGCTCAGGCGTAACATCTTATTGGTTGACATATGGAAATGTTCTTCAATTGCTGGCAAGATCGCGTCCTGGAAGACTGAAAGATTATGAGCCAAATGATGGAATATCTCCTTGTAAATGGATGCCATGACTGCGTCTCTTTGCTTGACATAAGCAAAGAAAGTCTTGAGATCATCGCTTAGGGTGTCTATTTGCTCCCTCGTCTGTCTTGTTGATTCCTCGATAGCATCCAACTTTGCCGTGGCATATTGGTTTACACCAGTCTCTTGACTAACATTTACTTTGATGGTGGTGGAGTTATCTTGTGCTCCATCTGCTTGATGCACTACTTCCTTAGCTTAGTAGTGGGTTGTTCAGGTTGTATGATGGTGGGTAGTGGCGTGTCTTCCTCAGATTCTGTCTTCCTCAGATTCCACAAGTGGAGAAGTCCAAATATGATCAATTATCCTCTTCAAGTGATGCTTGGTCAGAGATATCGCAATTTACAGTGACATTTGTGCAGGAGGGTGAACTTTATCAGAAATGTCATCGTTTGTGCCAACAACAAACGAGTCTTCCTTCTAATGGCTGCAACATGCTTGGGAAGTTGTTCTACTAAAAAACCTAATGTTAAAATTAGAAATAAAGAAATAAAACAAAGAAAAACAAACAAACAAACAAACAAACAAACAAACACACAAGACAAAACAAATTTGTTATAGCATAAATTAAAGAGGGTTGAAGGGATGCAAAATCCAAAACATCCTGAATTGATATGACATTTTTGTCACGTTTGATTGGAGCACCAAAAATTTGAATTTATGATCAGGGAAGGATGCATGATTATATATTAGAGACAACGAATTTGAATTTATAAATTTTCAGATGTTAAATTTAAATGTATAAAATTTTAAGGTGCGGAAACATATTTTCAATGTAAAATACATAGAAAAAATATAAAATATATGATAATTTTAAAATTTTAGGGAGGTGATCGCCTCCACCCACCTCCGCCTAAGTCTATCCCTATTTATGTATACTTTTTAAAATTTTAGGGAGGCGATCACCTCCACCCACCTCCGGTTTCAATTTTGTTTTTGTGTTTTGTTTGAACGATTGGTTTGTCTATCAGCTTTTTGCTTTCCAACTGTTTTGTATGCTATTTTTGGATTTGTTTTGGTGATAGAGATTTAATGGCTCTAGTTTTAATAATAATAATAACATGCATTCTTTTATGTCAAAAAAAACTTTATCATTTCTATGAAATAATAAGTAGAAAATTAGAGAAAAAAGTTAAAGTAAATAATAAAAAAAATATGATTTAAAAGGTGTCGAATACATAAATATCACATAATCATAATAAAATAAGTTACTCCTATAAATTTCGAAATGCATCCTCGAGTGATGTTGTACTAAACATACTAAAATTATATACAAGATCAAACAACTCTAATTAATAAATATATTGTTCCTTAATTACTTACCTTTAAAAATTGACAATCAATTGAATTTGGACCACTTTGGTAAATCTCTGACAATCATAGTAGATGAGGCTTACTTTTGTTATATGATTGATGGTTCTATCGTAATATTTTATGATGAAAGAACAAGACTTTACAACTTATTATATTATTATTGAGAAATAAATATTATTTAAAAAAAATAAAATCTCTGTAATTTTTAGGGTAAACTACACGTTTAACACATGAACTATTAATTTTATTTTATTTTTGTACCCATATTTTATTTTTTTAAATCATACCTAACATTTAATTTAAGTTTTATTTTGGTAACTCGTTGTTAAAAACTTAACGGTGATGTTGACGTGTCACCATTAGATAATACCATGTCATCGTTGAAAAAAATAAAAAAAAAATGACATATCAAGAGTTATGTTAATTTTTTAAATGACTTGTACCAAATTAAAACTTAAACTAAACGTTAGATATGATAATGAAAAAAAGAAGTTAAGTACCAAAACAAAATAAAAATAATAGTTTAGATACTACTTGTAATTTATTCAATATTTAGTCAAAATTTTTAAAGGCTGGACCAAAATGAAAGAGAAAGCAAAAACAATAAACATATTTTTTTTATGATTTTTTATCCAAAAACAATAAATATGTATTTGCATGAGTACGAATACGAGCCAAGTAATAATAATGATGCTCATATACATTAAATTTATCTTCAATCATAAAATAAATAAATATATAATTTAAAAGTTATACTTAAACCGTTCGAAAATAATCTAAGGGGTTGTTTGTTTGGCTCTGAATGGAATCATTCAACATTGAATGCAGAACCGTTCAACATTCAGACTGTTTTTTTCTCACCTCTGAATAATTCAGTGTTGACTGATTCAGTAAAACAGTGTTAAATGATTCAACACTGAATGATTCAGAGTCATTATCAAACAACATGTCACATTCAGAGTTAATTTATACAGAGCTTCTGAATCATTTAACATTTGAATCATTTAAAACTTAATCATTCAAAACTTAATCATTCTGAAATAAACAAACAGCCCTAAATGATCTAAGATTTAATAAATTTATGATCAAGTATAGCGATTTTAAGTTGTTATAATTTTTAATTTTTTATCTTTTTTTATCTTTTCTTTCATTTTTGGTCTAAACCGTCACAACGTGTCCATAAAACATCTTTTATAAGTACCTTTGAAAAAGCTTCTCACGAAACACTCACCTTACGTAACATGAAAAAAAATTTAAAAATTATTTAAAATAAAATGTTAAATTTAATATTATATTTTTTTTATAAAAAAGTAGTAATATTTGAGTAATAAGACGCAATGATTGAGAACAATTTTTAATATATGTTTATGATCAGAGATGGATACATGATTATATATTAAAGAGAACAAATTTAAATTTATAAAATTTCAATGATGAATTTAAATTTATAAAAATTTAAGATACAAAAACATATTTTTAATATAAAATATATAAAAAATCTAAAATATATAACAATTTTAAAATTTTAGTGTGGAGATCGCCTCCACTTACATCCACCTAAGTCTATCCCTATTTATGTCTACTTTTTAAAATTATAATACTTCATATGTCCAATGATTTGTAATTTATATTTGATTATATTAGGGATGGGTATGGGTTGGGTTTCGACCAATCCGACCCGAAAATTTTATATTATTCACCCGACTCGACCTGAAAAATATATACCCTCTATCTGACCCGAATTTTTGAGATAAAATACGAACCCGACCTGACCTGAAATAATAAAAATATTATTTTTATTCAATAAAAATATTATTTTTATTCAATAAAAATAATGATTTAATTGAAAAAAATAATATATTGAGGGATATTATTATAATTATTCCTAAATATATATAAGGTAAAATTATATTTTTTAGGCCGGGTCGGGCATTTTTCACCCTAAATCCGAATCTCACTTGACCCGAACATCACCTTTAAAAAATCCAACCCGAAACCGAACCTTTTTTAAAAAAAAAAACTCGATCCAGTTGGGTCGGAACCCGTCAAATTCGGGTCTCATGCCCATCCTTATATTATATACATAATTTTAAAAGATTTACTTGATTAAGAAAAATGATAAAATCATCTCTAAAAGTTGATTAATTGATTTGACAGATTTAATTTGATAAGTATAAATTAATTAAACATATAAAATAAAAAATATATAAGTATTGTTGTTTGTTAATTTTTTTAATAAGATATTTTAATTGAGATAATTTTAAAAATTAAAAGAGATTCATTTAATGTGATGAAATAGATGTTTTTATTATATTTTTTTTTTGAATTGTATATTTTTATTTAAATATTCTTAAATTTAAGATAAATTTTTAAATTGAAATGACGACAAATTCTGGAACAAATCTATATCTACTTTGTTTACTTATATATTAAATAATTTTTCAATGATAAGGTTTAAATAAACAAAATCACAATATATTATAAAATTTAGTAGATAGAATAATTTAATATGAAAAAAACGAAATACTACCGCCGAGGATCCAGCACGACCGGTTCCATCCAGAAGACACACATTTCACTTGCGTGTCAAAATATAATTGGAGGAATGTGGAGGGAGAGAGATATTTAGCGGATCAAAAATATCTGTTTAAGTCGTCGACGTTGTCCCCATCGCTACACCGATCTGGAATCAGATAGTATTACACTTTTCTTTCCTCTTCGAAAAGAAAATTTATTTTTCCTTTCCTTCCAAACAGCCTCCCTCACTTTCACGCCGTTATTTGAAAAATCTTTGCAGTTTTTACCGTTTTATTTCGATCTAAAGACAAAAATATCTGAAAAATCATTCAATTTTTAACCTCTAATCTCAAGGTCAAAGAGATAAAAATGGGTGAAGAAGTCAGGATGACTGACTTTGACGCTAGCGGCGGAGACAATGAAGAAGCTACCGCAAACACCGTCACCGCCTTCGTTGATAAAGACGACGATGTTGGCGAAAGAATCCTCGAATGGGAGACGGGGTTACCTAACTGCGATGATTTAACTCTCTTAACTCAATCCTTAATCCCGCCGGAACTTGCCAACGCTTTCAGTATCTCGCCGGAGCCTCGTCGGACCGCTGTTGATGTCAACCGCGCTTCTCAGGATACTCTTTTTTCCCTCCGCTCTACCGGGGCCCACTCCTCAACCACCAATAAAACGAATAGCAATTCCCCTTGTTTTAATGACACAACAGTAGTCGAACCGGAAGGAGACGGTTCGGGATTGGGTACCGGATCGGACCCGAAGAAGTTGAGGAACGTGGTAATTGGAGAGGAAGCGGATTCAGAGGCTAGGACGACGGATAATTCAGACGATCCATCGGGTAGGACCCTGAAACGGCCGCGTTTAGTTTGGACGCCGCAACTGCACAAGAGATTCGTCGATGTGGTGGCTCATTTAGGGATAAAATACGCGGTTCCCAAAACGATCATGCAGTTAATGAACGTCGAAGGCTTGACCCGGGAAAACGTCGCCAGTCATTTGCAGAAATATCGGCTTTATTTGAAAAGAATGCAAGGCTTGAACAACGAAGGCCCATCGGCTTCCGATCAGCTCTTTGCATCAACGCCGGTACCGCAGAGTCCTCACGAGAGTGGAAGCGGCAGTGGTGGAGGAGGAAGTAATGGAGGTGGGGGTAGTGGCAATTTGAATGGGCATTTGGGTATGGCTATACCGATGCCTTATGGGGCACCAATGATGCCAGTACCGATGCCAATGTATGGACATATGGGGATGCATCAAGGATTGTATCATCAACCACAACAGCAGCATCACCAGAATGGGTACGAAGCGAACTCCTATGGGATGATGCAGCAGAGAGATTGGTCTGGTGGGAATAAATATGGGTCAGTAGTGCCGTATCCCCATCACATGGCTCCCGATGATAAATTAAATTAGTCAGATTTTTGTACCAAGGTCAGTCCTTTTCCTTCTTTTATAATAAGAATTCCCAGCTTTATTGATTTGTTTACTCACGACTGTTAGCTACAATCTTTCCTTTTGTGTGTGTGTGCGTGTTAAAAGGTCTGACTTTTTGTTGCTGAAAATTGAATTGCAGCACCATAATTTGTTTTAAAATTTGTATTGTTCGAACTTTTCTTGAGATATAAACTGATGTGGAACACTGTTGCTTCTGGAACTTGCTTGGATGTTTTTAGGATTTGAATGGAATGGACCCAATTGAGGTTAGATTATTTTGGTATACCTGGAATGGATGTGAAAATACGATTTAAAGTTTTATACAGGGTTATGAGGCAATAGTTTCACATTTGTACTCAACGACTCTGTTTTTAGGGTAATGTCATATATTTTACTTGATATGATTGTTGCCTGTTCTGCAATCTGCATATAATTGTGTCTAGTTGATTGTCCTAGGGCTAGCACCGATTTGGTTGGTGAGCAACTCTTTCCCACAAGAATAGACGTTTTACTAGATAGTTTTGTGTAATGGAAGCTTGTATCAGGACGAACACAATAATTTATGTGACGGGTATAAACTTGACAAATTATATTAAAAATTTAAGGGTACGAAATTATGAAATTTTAAGAATGTAAAAATTAGATAATTAATGAAAAATATATAAAAACTTAAAAATTTTATGGATGCTACTGTAACCTAGCACTACCTCAATCCATGCCTGCTGCATTTGTATGTACTTTTGAATTCAACTATCTGCTTCATGTGCCTACTTCATTGCATCACCGAGATGAAGTTGTTTCCCTCTCTTATTTTTCCTCGTTATGATGGGTGATAAAACGATGCATTTTCCAGTTATTTTGCTCGATGTTTTAAGGGGTTTGATTTGATATTTCACATGCTTGCTGTGGCTTAGTGTTATTCTTGTGTTTTAAGAATTCGATTCTTATTCTGTAGAATCAGAAAATTTGTATCAACTTGATGTTTACTTGTCCCTGAACTCTCATCTTTCTCGTGATTTTGCAGACGGGAGGAGGGAGACTTGCGAATGAACATGGGAAAGATATAAACAAACCTCTCACTGGATTTCTTTCTTGATTTGCTTTGATATCATTAAAGAAGATACATATCGTACCTACCTTTATTCACTTGATAGCGGCAGGAAGAATCCAAGAAATTCAGTCAAGTCACTAAATCTCAATTCTTCTTATTTAATTCGTAGTTACCACTAACTTGTGTATTATTATTGACTATCATTTTTTTTTTTTTGCTTTTCGTTTAAGAAACTAAAAGCAAATAAAAAAGCTAAGCCAGAGTCCATCACTTGGCATCATTCTCGCTAGTTATCATCGGTTGGCTTATATTGAGCTTCTTTACCCTTTTTCTATTGGCTTGAACTTTAGCCCTAATATAATCTAATTAGTTAGGGTAAATTATACCGTTCCTCATTGAACTATACTCTCTCTCCTATTTTCTTCACTCAGCTTTCAAATTTTCTATTTTGCTCGTTGAACTTTACAAACTGAATCGTTTTGTTCACTCTGTCGCTAACTATTTAACGGCGTTATGATGTGACACAAGCATCAAAATGATGTAATTTTGAAAAATTCAAATATACATCAAAACGACGTCATTTTGAATCATATATTGAAAGTTCGGTGAATAAAATAATAGAGGAAGTAAAGTTCAGTGAGGAATTGTGTAATTTACCCTTTTTTATTTTTTTTTTCTTCATTGGCCACTATTTCATTTTCATTTTGGCCATTTTCAATCGTCGTTGATTGTGGTTGTCCGATCACAAATTTAATGAGTTGGGTCATCTCGACCCCTGAATCTGAATATAGTGGTTGTTTCACCAGAAATGTCCTAAAACCCGTGAATCTCGACTGAAACGTTTTGGATTCATCACTTTTAATCTCAAATTCGTGGACTTTGGAGTAACTTCCGACAAAATGGAGGTCGGATTCGAAATTACGATGTTGAGACGAAGCCACCCATAAAATTTGGTATCGAACGGCCATCATATACAATGGTCGATGGTGGCCAACGGTGGCATTCGGCCACCTTCTGGCTTTTTGTTATTTTTTCAATTATTTTATATTAAAAAATAAAAAAAATGTCGCATCACTAGCCGTTAGAGAGAAAACGGGGGAGTGAGCAAAATGATTCAATCTGTAAGTTCATTGAGTAAAATAAAAAAATTGAAAGTTGGGTGACGAAAATAGAAGATAAAGTATAGTTCAGTAAGGAACAATGTAATTTACCCAATTAGTTATTACAACATCTACTTATATATTCCATGTGTATAGACTACGACAGCATAATATAAGGTTAATGAAAGATACTATCTAAAATATTATAAAGCACGACCTAAAATGTTATAAACAGTATAATATTTTAGATTGCGTACAACTTAAAAGATCATATTTGTTAATATTTTCGATTGTAACTTAAAATATTATGAAAATAATAATATTTTCTGTTGTAACCTAAAATATATTTGTAACAGAAAAAAATAAGAAAAAATTAATATTTTAGATTACACATAATTTAAAATATATTATTATTTTGTAATATTTTAAATCACGTCTTATATTAATATTAAAATAAGTAGTTGTACCGTAGACTTCTTCTATTCCACGTAGTGTTATTACAGGCAATAGTAGGAGTTGTATTGGCCTTTCGGGCATGGTCCCATTGGCTGATTCAGGCAAGTAATTATTTCTTGATATAAAGATAAAAAATATCTCAAGTTTGATTAAATAATTATTTTAGTTTATATTTCTTTTTAAGATATTTTGGTCTTTTAACATTTCATTTTAACTTAAAAAATCCCTCTTAAAAAAATGTTTGGGTCAAAATACTTAAAAAACCAAATCGCCAGGGGTTTTTCATTTAAATAAAAGGATAAACTACACATTTAGTACATAAATTATCAATTTTGATTCATTTTAATACCTAAATTTTAATTTTTTTAAATCATATTTAATGTTTAGTTTTTGTTTCATTTTAGTATCTTACTGTTAAAAACTTAATGTGTTTAGTACAAAAACTATTAGTTTTGGTCCCTTTTAGTACCTAAACTTTCAAAAAATATTTCCAAAACTTAATGTTAAATTTTAAACGAAATACTAAAATGAAGTAAAAAACTAAACTTAAAGTATGGATTTGGTGCCTCGATCTATCCATCCATCTGGGAGTGGAATACCGAACTCATATACAATCAGGTCCCCTGTAACCTAGCCAATTATGTCCACTGATCGCTGGAGAAAATGGGATATTGATCGCTAACCATGATCGATGTATATCGTGTAGTTTAATGATCCCCTTGTACCATTATTATCATTGCCATCGACCATCGTAATGTTTAAAGGAATGCAAAGAAATGACCCTACTTTGTGAGTCGGTCGACCACAATATGTTCTTTTATGTTTTGCAACTCCATGTCCAACTCACTGGCTCCTCTGATACCATCAATGATTCCAGACAGTGCCATTAACACAGATTTTGTTTCTTTGCACAATGCATCGATTGCGGCATTTAATCTTTCGGGTCAATATTGTATCTCAAAGTTGTAACCTATCAATTATTCGAGCTAGTGCTGTTGATCATGAGTGTTGATGGTCTATTGATTCCAGACTGTGCCATAAATATAGATTTTTATCACTTTGCTACTACTACCCTATTATCCTTTAGCACTTGAAAGATGGTTTTCATATGCTCCTAGTGACCCTGCCTGTTACGACTGAATACTAATACATCGTCGAGTAATATCAACATAAATCTATGTAAGAAGGGAAAAAATCTCCTTCATTCTAAACTGTCCCGTGGAAGGAGAGTGGTCAATCCAAACAGTTCCTGGTTTGCACAGAATAGGATGAAGTTGTAACGCTAAATAATACAAAAACAAAAATATTTATTCGAAATAAGAAAGCCGATTAAATAGTGCGCCTAGTTCCATTCATCTCAAAATCTCTGTAACATTCAGAACAGCACCAACAGTTGCTAGAAACAGAATTGCTACCCTGCATTAAGCAGGGCGGTATTAGACCTTAAATCACATCTTAGTATCTCTCCCCGAATCGGAAGAAGACTGCACCAGTTCCGGTGTTATGATCAACAGCATACTCGGCTCTCACCAGACCCAGTTTGACACCAACCCCATATGATGAACCGTGACCCATGCGCCTGTAGACCTCTGTCGGGTTGCCCTTCACATCTTTTGAACTTCCTAGATCATTCCCATGCTCTGCGAATGCATAAACATGTGTATTTCTCACCGGTATCCTAATCTCTGCTCCAAGCTGGCAGGCAACATCAGAAAACAGATTTCAGATAAATTAGTCATTTCATTAAGTGTAAACTCTCCCACAATTTTTATTATCAGATTCCTCTTTAGCATTTTCACCAGAAATACAGCATAAATGATGACATTAAGAGAAACAAAAGTTTAAAGAAATTAATTAGGTATATCCTTACCTCAAGAATGTTTCTGGCTGCACCTAACTCACCCATGTTATAACCTCTCACAGAATAGGGACCTCCAAGAGTAAAAGCATCATAACTTGGAAGGTCACCCACACAACCTCCATAGTGGCCATGAAGGACTAGAACAGGTGGTGGGGGTTTGCCGGCACCTTCTTCTACTTCTCTTAGTTGGAGAAATTGTGTAAGTGTCAATTGATGGCGGTTAAAGAATGGAAACTTGCTACCGATACCAAGTCCTTGGTCCACCTGTGCATTGCATAAAAAATGCAAGCAAATTAGATAGGAAATAAATTTTCAAGTATAATTTTATGAATAAATCACAATGTAACTAGAGTTATGAAGGCTAAAACTTTAAAAGGATAACTACAAGTCTACAATGGCTTTGGTACCTCTATTAGAATAAATGACAAACATGTGAGCAAATGTTTTACCAACAATGCTTTCATTTCATTGCTGATTAGAACAGTATCAGCAAAGACGGATTCACAATGTAAATATATGAGCTAACCTGGAACACATTCCTCTCACCAACTATAGCACCATTTATAAATTTGGTATTATCGCGTGTGATGTTTGCCTGTAGAAATGTCATTCGATCAACACCGGTACCGCTGAGAGTGGTAGGAGGTCCATCTGCGCTGATGCCTCCACTTGGTAGCACCCTTTGACCATTTGCAGAGATATGACTGCTTTCATCTCGTGTTGTTATCTCTTCCATCACAAGTCCATAAGTGAATTTGCTTTGACGGGTGAAATTCTGCCAGAAACGTACTGATCACAATAGAGTTGACGGTACATAGAGTCCTAAAGTCACTTCCTGATTTTTTTCTAAACATAGCAGAATACCTCCGTAATGTTAGCTTTCACACCAGCTCGGTCAACCCATATTGGTGGGACTTCATCGATTCCTGGCCCACCAGTGAAAACTGGACTCAGTTTCCGGCTGTTGAAGCAGCTTGCACGAAAAGTTCGATTGCGAGAATTATTGACACCATCTAAATATGGGTGCACATATTCTAGTTTGAAAGCCAGATCATCCTAAAGAAAAGAAAAACATAAATATTGTTAGGATGCAAATTTACACTTACCACTAGAGAAAAGTTGCTGCAAGAACTATGAGAGAGCAACATGCATATTTAGGAAAAAGCACCTGAGGATTAAAATAGTTACTAGTGGTCAAGGAACCAAGAATAGATCTATTAAGCCCTTTGAGATTCCGATGCTCAAAAGAGACAGTTCCACCAGGTTGGATTGAAGCCTGAACAGAAAAAATATCACAATAAGCAAACACTATAAATCACAAGTTTTAAGTTTAAGGCTTTAAGCTACAATCAATTATGTAATCTACAAGAATAATTTCAACTTTCAAGGTATAATATATAATTAGGTTTGCATACCAATGTGGGACGTCCCCCGCGTCCGGGTACAATACTCCACTCCGTACTAACTTCAGCTGATTTCTGATCCAGCTCTTTGAGCTTTATCTCAACAATGATGCCACCCTCATTCTTCTCATCAGGTTGTGGGTTCACTTCGATATTCGAAAACAAAGCAAGCGAGTTTATGTTCCTCAATGCTTGTTTCCCAGCTTCAATATTAAAAACCTTGCCT